ATTAAAAGTAAAAGGAAGGAATATAAAGTTGGTTTATTTGATCAAGGTTAAAATAAGATATGTTGTTACTTCTGGCAACCCTTTATGGACTTTCTGACGACACCAAAACTAAAAAGATGATGTTTTATGGATTTGCCTATAAATAAGAGATGGGATATAGGATGAAGAGATAAATGTTTGTAACCTTAGAGGGGGTGAAGAGTCACTAAATTTGTTTATACTTGTGATGAAGGTTGGATATAGGATGAAGAGATAAATGTTTGTAACCTTAGAGGGGGTGAAGAGTCACTAAATTTGTTTATACTTGTGATGAAGGTTGGAAGTCACTTCTTTATATATTTCTTTTCTCTTTATTGCTTTCTTTTTCTTTTCTCTTTTCTCTTCTCTCTTTTTTCCTTTTTCCTTGTATTTTTTACTCTTTCTTTCTGTTCTCTTTAAGTTTAGTTTGCATTAGATTTTACTGTTATAATCAAAATTCTTAATAAAAATTATACGTAAAAAAATAAGTCCACCAAATTAGGCTGGAATACTAAATACAATACTTACTTTGAATCTTTGATTTTCCAAATCATATTCTAGAACTGGGAATATGGCAAGAAGATCACCTTTGGACCAAGGTGGACGAGGAAAGGTTACTTTTGGAACATCAGAGCTGGCTTTTCAAGCAGGTTTGGAAGTTTCCATGTAACTGTACTTTGCAGCTAATTCTATGAATTTGCATGGAAATATCCTGACAGCAGTTGATAAACTCTTTGCATTACATTTATTTAGCATATTTATAAGACTTTCTCTCTGGGCCTTGACAAAATCAAAATACAGAGTTATTATGAACTGTCTTCAGAGAGAGATTTCAGCCTTGATCACCTCAGAAGTGCTACTAACTGACCACCCTAGGTTACAATGAGACATCACTTCCCAGGAATATTAACTCTATCCTTATCTCTTGTTCTAGAATAGGAATATGCAATATGATCTAACAAATTATGGAATTCAGCAATCATCCCAGTTTTGTGGATAATGCATAGAGATGAAACAGACATAAAGAACAATGGATAATACATTTGCCAGGGGTTTTTTTCTTCCAAAGTATGCATGAAAAATTTAGACTTCCAAATTCAAATTTTACGTTTAACAAGTGCTTTGTAGTTGAAAGCTTTTGCACTTGGCATCTTTTATTTTGATTTTGTCAAGGCCCAGAGAGAAAGTCTTATGAATATGCTAAATAAATGTAATGCAAAGAGTTTATCAACTGCTGTCAGGATATTTCCATGCAAATTCATAGAATTAGCTGCAAAGTACAGTTACATGGAAACTTCCAAACCTGCTTGAAAAGCCAGCTCTGATGTTCCAAAAGTAACCTTTCCTCGTCCACCTTGGTCCAAAGGTGATCTTCTTGCCATGTTCCCAGTTCTAGAATATGATTTGGAAAATCAAAGATTCAAAGTAAGTACTGTATTTAGTATTCCAGCCTAATTTGGTGGACTTGTTTTTTACGTATAATTTTTATTAAGAATTTTGATTATAACAGTAAAATCTAATGCAAACAGTTCATAATAAATCTACTTGATATAGCTACAGATGGAGCCATTTCAACAGAAATGCTTCTCGCAAGTATGGAGGTGCCTGAAACAGCCCAGAGAAATTTAGTTTATGGACATGGACATGAAGAGTCTGGGGAGCAACTTCCCTTTACAGAAGGAATGGAGTGCAACAAATTCTGCTTTCAGCAATGCTAGTATAAACCCAAGTTGCTTCTGTTACTAGGATTCTTTAGCACTTCAGGCCCCAAGGATCTATCTAGCCTTCTAAAAGCCTTGCAGGTGGATTTCCAAGTCCCTCCAAGCATGACTGAATGCATGGGGAGCAATAATATTAACTATAGTCATTGAACTGGACTGAATTGAATTGGTCATTTTTGCCCTGACCCTATTTGCTCTGGAGGTCCAGCCTCCAATTTCACAGTTAAAGCTCACATAGTCCCCCGCCTGCCACCTATTATGCATCTCTTTTCTAGAATTACTGCAACATGCCTCTTCTACCATAATCTGGAAGTGGAATTAAAATGCTAAGTAATTCTTGTAATTGTACAATTCACATCATCTCTGTTCATAAGCAGGGCTTTTCTCTTGGAAGAGAATTCACAGCTAACTCTCATGTAAAGCATTAAGACATATTCTCCATTCATCCACAAGGATCATGGGAAAACATCCTATCACAACAATGGTTTATATCGTATCCTTTGAGCAGATCAAAGTATTGTTTCCTTATTGCAGAAATGCTTAATAGCCCATTTTGTTTCAAAAAACAACCAGAGGGAAGATGAAGCTGGCAAAAGAAAAAGTGAATCAGGCACAGAAAAATAGGCTTATCAGATATGGGCTGCAAAATTCCAGAAGCAAAACTTGTAACTTCTTCCAGTGATCATCCAGGTTTTTGGAGTCCAGAATCATTTTTTCTACCCTATCATGGAGTTGCATATAGGATCTTTGGTGAGCAAAGCATGTTCTATGAATAAGCTGTGGCCCTTCCAACCTTATTTATATGTTGAGTGTGTATTTCACGCTAATTGTAAGGGAAATTAGAAATCTCTAAACCAGATTATACCTTTATTTGTTCCAAGCAAGCACTATAAAACTGGAGTTAGTTTTTGTGGAACTATCATTGCTACCACCATTCAAACACATTTGCCAATGAGATATTGGTGAAAAAATATTCTAGGCTGTAACACTAGTGTGGATAGTTGCACAAAAGCACCATGTTCCACACCTTCTGCATTTGACAGGCATAGTATAGACAATCTTACAAAGCTACAATAATCTTCTCTTGGCCCTGTTTAAATAAATTACAGTGACAGATGTCCCATTTGTCTAGTGCCAGGCCATCAGCCCCTGAAATCCTATTATGTAGTTTGAAGGAATAAAAATAATCTCCCTAGCTTTCCAGTTCTTTCTCTTCACTACAGCTCCACCAGCCCCTCTGCTAGTTACCTGAAGAATTCTGGGTTGAAGTTTTATGCTGCTACAGAATACCTACGAATCAATGAATTGTATTCAGACTCTGAAGATGATCAACATGTGATATTAGTGTTGCTCTGCAAGGACAGAGTGATAAGAATATCAAAAAGGAATACCTACAAGGTGGAGGCATTGAAGTCTTCTGCTTGATATACAAGACACTGAAGTCATACATCCTATAGCACGCTGCTTTATTTATGCCAGTGTTGGAGAATAAGTTGCATTTTTCCCATACAACTGCAAAAAAAAAGGTGGCTGCTGTCTCCAAGACTGACCCTTTTCCTCTTTGAATTTGTGGTTCTACATTGTTTACAATGCCCCTTCAGTCAGACATCCTCCATGAAGTATGGGCATCCGATGGGTAAGTCTATGTACATTCCTCTTAAGCAAGAATAAACTGTCTTTAGAGTGACATTGGCAATGTAGATGGGAAGTGAAAGTAGATTAATTTATCAGGTCCTTCCATGCCAGCTTCAGTTTTGGAATGAGATAAGACTTAGACAAGACAGCTTCAGTTGACTCCCATCTCTGGGTGAACTTTCTCTTCATCTCTGTGACTATTGTAAATTTGCTTGTCCTCTTCCTCTGGACAAAGAAAGGGAAAATATGTCTTACTGCTACTTGTATGCTCAGGAAGGAAAGTAAATAGTCAGTGGCAGCAAGGGGATGGAGAATCAAGCAGGCCAGTGGGTCCTAAGAATATTGATGCTCACTGGTCCTGAAGTCCTTCTCAACATTCCCCTTCTCATGATTAAAACAATAGGAAGCCCTTCAGGGGTTCATCTATGAATCTCTTGTTTAGAGATTTTCAACGTTATCAGTTATATCATATTTGCAATAAATAATATCTTAACTCCTAATGGTTTCCTCATGTGTTAATTTAGTTTTCCAGTCTTTGAACTGAAAGTTGCTATTCTTTTGTTCTCTCACATCATCCACTTAACAGCCTGACCTCAGAACTGTTTCTGAAAATTGGACATGCAGCTTGATAGACTGAAGAATTTCTCTACTTTTATTTTCCATTAATTATAGCAGAGATCAGTGATGGTACAATTTCATACAATGTTGTGAGTGCCTAAATAAATACA